TTTTTTATAAAATAATAAAATTATAATATTATAATAAATTTTCATTATAAAATTTATAGAAATTATCTTAACTCTTTAAAAATTATAGAAAAATATTTCATTTTATTTAGAAAATTTTGTTGAAATCTATTTTTAAACAGACACCTGACAATGCCAAAATCCTCATTAATACCGGCAAGTGTCATTTCTTAAGAAATTTCAACTGCTCCAAAAAATATTAAAAAATTGGTGAAATTAAAATGAAATAATTTATATGTTATGACAAAGATGATTTATAATTTGGACTTATAATGACTTCCGAAATAATTTTTAACTATTATAGATAAAAAAAAATATATTTTTCGAACTTTGATAGGTGGTGGGTGGAATCATATGACCACGTGAAACCCACTTTAAATGAGGATGGGCAATTATCCACCCTTAATTTTAAGATCCTAAAATAAATGACTAAATATTTTACCTTAATTTCATTAAATTTAAAATCTATCATACCAAATAGAATTCAAAATCTATCATTCCAAGCATATTTAAGATTTAACAACACATAAGATCCTAGTAAATTCAAATTTATAGAATATACTAAATCCTACTTGCACCTAAATAGTCCCTTAAATAAATTTCTTATAAAGTTTTCATTATAGAATTTAAAATGAAGATTAAATAAATAATATAAATGAAAAAATAAATATACCAAAAAAGTCTACTTCATTAATGAATATATATACCAAAAAGTCATCTTCTTCTTGCTTGAGTCCCCTCTCATGAGAAATGAGAGTTCTATTTATAGATATTCTGGAGTGGCATAGCTTGTAAATAGGGAGTGATCGGATGGACGGCCGATGTTGAATCCTTTGATCATGGACCGTTCACTAGGCATTTGAAGGTCTTAATGCTATCGGAATTTGGCGATCTTGCGCTCGTTGGATTTGTCTCGTCAAGCCGCTCGATTCAACTATAAGTACGTCATGTTTGAAAACTGTTTGGTAACTCAAATTGTGGTTCGAACTTTCAAACAACAATTCGGGTCTTTGATTTGGACTCATTTGGGCTCGGATTGAGTCGAATTTGGTGTCGTTGGGTTCGTATTTCCGAGACGCTCAGTTTGCCTATAAGTTTGTTGAAATTGGAGTTCAAGTGATCCCAGATTTAATTTTTGAAGTTTTCGGCTTGATTTTGCCTTGAGATTTGTGCCTGTTCAAGATGATTTTTTTAGGATATATCAAAATAAAAAATTTAATAAATAAAATCCTTGCATGCATTTTGTCCCTCCCTCATAGATATTTTAAGGACTTGTATATATCATGGTGATTTCTGTAACCACCAAATTATGCATTGCAAACATAATAAAATGTGTGACGCTGTTAACTTAAGGTTTCGTTTAAGACTTTTTTTTTGTTGCTTCTTAAATCGACTTTTTAGTTCAAAAATTATAATTTTTGAACTAGAAAGATATTTTAAGAAGCACTAAGAAAGTCATCCCAAACGAAGCCTAAATCAATTAGCTTTTATCTCGAGGAGATCTATTGAAGAAAATCTGCTTGCTGATCATGATTTTCTTAAAAAGAAGTTGAAAATCTTCAAGAGGGAGACTTGCTATATGTGTGAAGGTTTACATTACAATTTGGTATTGTTAATAGAGTTTCAAGAATCTATCAAATTCTTAGGATTAAAAGGCTGTTAGATATATTAATGAGGTGGCTGCATTGATGAACCTTTACACTATTCAGATTCATGGTGATCAAGTCGGCTTTGGCAATAGAGGCCTAAGGAAATATGACCAATTTTCATTTCTTTTTTCAAAGAAAAGAGTGAATTAGAGCCTTCTCTTTTCTTCCTAACTATTATGAGCACTTGGTGGATAGGGTTGTTGGGAGGGTCCAAGCGAAAGATAGCCACTTGAGTGTGAGGGAGGGGAAAGAGTGATTTGCTCGTAAGCCCAACTCAAACTCATTCAGAAAGCCATAGCCACTATAGGAAAATGGCTCCTTAACGGTTGATTTTTTGGCGGATAATTGTCTGCCAGTATAAGCAGCAGTCATCCCAACGGATATTCCGACGGAATATAAGTGTCGAATTTTTCGGCGAAAAAACTGCCAGCTAAACCACCAGTGTGTATAAAACCGATGTTTAATTCCAACAAAAATTGTATGATGGATTCTCATTCTTATTAGGCATTTGTGTAGCTGGTGAGGAATTGGTCTAGTGGGATTAAATTTGTTAGTTCAATTATTTCTTATCATGATGTTTCTTTTTATTATACATAGAAGATGAAATAAAATACCTCATATATTTACTTGTATGGTATGTTCATAAATCCCCCATAGAAAAAAAAAAAAAAAGATGCCTCTATACCCTTTCAGTAATCACTTCAAGAAGAGTTGGAAATAAGTAAAAAAAGAAATAGTAAACTAAAGATGAAAATAAGTATTTTAGACTTCGTTTGAGATGGCTTTCTTACTGCTTCCTAAAGCAACTTTATAGTACAAAAATGAAAAATTTTGAACTAGAAAACTGCTTTAAAAAGCAGTAAGAAAGTCGTCCCAAATGATACCTTAATTGTACAACTGTGTTAAATGCTGCAATTAAATAGTTTTTGACACTATTTCCTTTGTGATGTTTCTATAGCTTAGCTCTGGTGTTCATTGTAGCTTTATGCGCTTATGGCAAACTATGACTTATGGCTATATGGTGGAAAGATAGATTGTAGCTATTCTTGGCTACTTGATGATGACTGAGTTAATTACAGATTGAGCATAGTTGGTACATGCTGAAGACTTGATGTTATTTGATGGTCATCTATTAGCCTTCTTGTTCGTTGATCGTTCATATTGGGCTGGACTACACCTTTTTTGGTTTTGGTTACAGATTTTCGGCGGATTATATGCCTAGAAAATTGATACGACGATATGTATCGACATTTCGGATGAAATTTGTCGTCGGTATTTTTGGCGGATTTTTCATCATATCAATCAACCGGCATCTATTTGGCAGAGTGGTTCGGCGAATAATCCGCCAAAAATACCGGCGGTAAATTTTCACAGAAAATACCTGTGTTAATTTCCATTGAAAATTTCGACTGATAAAATGCTGGAACTCATAACATGAAAACGACACTTCAAAATTTTTGAGGCGCAATTTAAGGTCGATTGAAATACCATCGGAAAATCTTAAATCCATTGGAAAATCAGATTTTCCGATGGAATTTCATGGCTAGCGATTGATTTTGGCCGCTGGTATGAGTTCCAGCATGGGCTGGTGCGTCGCGGGGGGCTGGTGAATTAGCCATGAAATTCAGCGACGACCTCGCGCGCCCGCTGCGACAGCTCCGCAGCGACGACCCCGCGCCCGCTGCGACCGCTCCGCTCGACCGAGCCTGCCCCGCGCGACCACTCAACCCAGTTTCCCGGGTCGTGTCGGGTCAACCCGGCAACCCGCCGGGTCGGGTCCGGGGTGG